TTTAGAGCTTTTTTTTTCCGCATGAAGAGTTTTTTGAACTCTCTCGAAAAGTCTTGGAAGCCATTTTTGAGATTTTTGCAAGCACATTTCACAAATTGAAACTGGAATTCTGACACAGCATTTTTTGGAGTTTATTTTTTGTTGGGCACATTTGGGCTTTGAAAAAAGCACACTGGCATGCTGATCATGGCCAACTCAAAGCAAAGTCACAGTTTGCCAAAATATGTCAACACTGTGCCAAGTTCATGCGAAAGGCTTTAGTTCCAAGGCTCTCACGTAAGAGAGAGGATGTGCAAGATGAAAATTCGCAACACCGTCCTAAACATGCAAATGCAGGTTTGTCGCACGCACAGCAGAGTTCGCAAACATGCCGACGGAACCGGAACTGCAATGAATAGCAAACTTGCACATGGATTACTACCCGGATGAGCATTAAAAACTCTAACTATTGTGTACAACAGTAAGTGCCACCTTGGTCAACTTGCACACGAAATGCACCCGATAATCTGTCCGTTCAAATGCCTTGGCATTCGCAATGAACAGAGTTCAGACATCACGGAATGGCGCAGAGCCTCACCGCGTTCTTCTAAAAAGTGCACATGAGCAAGATTCAATTGAGGACTGAGCCTAATACGGAAAACACATGGGCATCTGTCAAGCGGCCAGGACACCGGCTTCATTGTTAGCACGTGCCACTGACCCCATTCCGGGGTCATTGTCAGCGCTAGAACTCCAGGAATTCATTCGTGCATGCCTTCAATGGCACAATGTTGTTTTTCAACCGACGCGACAATCATCAGAAGACATGAGAAAGGCAAGATGAAAAATTTCAAAAGCGCAGCAAAGCTCAAGATCGCCCCAAATAATGCCCATCATGACATTCTATATTCTATAAATCTTTATCCATGTGGAACCCCTGTCCAACTTCAATGTGACTTCAAGCCTTTGGAGGCTTCTTACAATCGTTCGCCATCACCTTGCTCAGTTCCTTCGTTTGCAAAAAGTACAGAGAAAAGACAGCGTGCAAAATGCACAACGAGCACAACAACACGCAAAAGTTCGCGCAAGTTTTCTGAGTGTCAGCGTGGATGAATAGGGAATCACGATATTTTGGACATCAACTTAAAATAAAAGTGCTCCAATTAAACGAGATGGATCCACGAATGCTGCAAGAAATGTGGCGTCTACAAGGTGTTTCACGCGTAGAAAAACTGGGAAAATGCTTTTGTCCTTCTGCGCGCGTCGCAAAAATGCCATGGCAATGTCATTTTGCGAACACTGTGGTTTTGTGGAAAGGCAAAACGTTTCATTCTACAAGCTCAATAAAGAGTAAAAATCATACGTGATTTACGTTATGGGTTGACTGTTGTGTCGAATCAAATGTCGTCAAAAATTCCGCATGGGTGACCTACACTACTCTTAAAACAAAATTTGAAAAAGTCTTGCGGAAACTCTATGTGGCACTTACCCAACAACAAAAAAGTAATCTCTTCAGCACTCGATTTTGTAGATGTTTAACGTTTCACAGATACATGACAATGATTTGTAGAAAACTTTGTCACGTGTTGCGTCGGAATCTTTGTTGTTTACGTGTTGCAAACTAAAGAATGTCCGAGAATTCGTTTTGACCTGTTACTAGACTTATCAAATGATGCAGTTTGTTCAACATCTGTGCAGTGACATGATGTGGTTTTAGCAAGAGGACGGATTTGTGGTGGTAGTTATGCCAACAACTCCATGTGCGGCCTTTGGGCTGTTTGGTTTTTTAGAACAAGCATTCTTGCTGCAAGGCAAAGCTTCGTCTCCACGCTCCACTCTGGAGCGCTTGCCAGCATGATCGGTTGTGCCACACAGACTTTGTAGTCATCCGGCAAAAAAGGTCCAGCGAATGCTGTTGTGACGCTGCGAAACACACGGAAAAACGTTGAACCTTGGGATTGCGAAGCAGCTAGCTGTTGTGGCTCGCTGGTGCATGTTTCCTCCCTCACCCTCATGGCAAGCTTCCACAAAGAACCCAAACTGGAACCCAACTGGGATACGACCCACAGGTCCAACCTCCGACTTTGAAGGCAGAGCGTGTCTGCTTGACACGAAGGCCCAGTTGAGCGGTTTGCCACTTTGTTGACCTGAGTCTGCATCTTCTGTTAGCTCACAACGCCCAACCGAAACCCGGTCGTTGATCGCCTCAGTGGTGTTGGGCGACCGAAAAGAGCAACCACAAAGTTTCAACACAACTGGAAGACATGAGATGTCCATTTTTGGAGCTCCGTCAACTTCTGGGCAAGCGCTTCAGACCCACTGACTGCACCACTTGTTGGCATTTGTTGTGCGGCGTGTGGTCAGTGGTTGCAGCTGTTGCCGATTTGGCATCCGTATTGCCGGATCGTGACCAACCCTCCAAGGCAAACAAAGCAGCTTGCAGCCGACGTTTTCGTGCTGGCGATCTTGTGAAGTGTGGAAGTGCAGCTTTCTTGTAAGGTGGCTGGCAAGCTAAAGGCGAGGTTTTGTAGTGGAGGATGGTGCTTGGTCGCCAAGTACAGTAGTCGGAGCGGCGACTCGCCTCAAGAGTTGAGGCGGCGGCTCAGGCCAGCACCCTACCGGGCCCATCAGATTGCACGGATGTTTGCTAGGATTGAACTTATTTGTATCTTTACCTGCTTACCCACTCCGTGAGTCCTCCTAGTGTCTTTTGAAGAGTTTTCCTTGGTAGCTGGATTGGAATTGAGTGCGGAAGCATTCTGTGGTTTGTTGCGCTTTTGAGACTTCCAAGTGACACGTGAAAAGAGTACTTGAGCTTTGCTTGAAGCTGGACAAGCGTCTGCAGGAGAGCAACAGCAGACACAAACTTGCTACGTTTGGCTCAAAGCGAAAAGTGCCACTGCGTTTGGGCTGCTTTTACACTTCTAGCCACAAATGCTGTTCCGTTGTGTGATTTTCATTTGTGGATTTTGTGGCCGGCCGAATTGAGGCCACACTCCACAGCCATTTTTGCACATCCCAGCAACATGAAGCCATAAATTGTGAGAAATCCTAATTCGGGACATGTTGAGGCCAAAAGAAGCCACAAATCATCAGAACCCAAGTTTTGGCCATTCGGGCGCGAGAAGCCTTAAGTCAAGGTCGGACTTGGGAAGCGCACGTGGACTTGTCGGAAACACAAATGCCGACCTGCTTGTGCTGGCATTGACGTGAAGTCTCTGTTCGTGCATTCTATTTTGCTTAGGACAATCATAGTCTGGAATTGTTTGCGTTTCGTACTGGCTAAGTCCACATAACTTTGTGCTGTAGGCGACCCCACTTAAACTTTAAACATTCAAACATAATCTGCGCTAACTTTGAGATGTAAGCCCCTTTGCGCCACTTGCTCATTATCTTCCGATTCCACGAGTCCTTCCTCCCATGCGTTGCGAAGGGCACTGGCTTCAACAACTTGGCTGTTTCAGAGCGTAGGGGAGGACTTAAGGTTGGCAGAGTACTTAGAATTGAGCTGTTTCAGTATGATACAACATGGTTAAGATGGATGTGAATTCAAGGGCGTTTGTATTTGTTCAAATGTGAGGGTGTTGCGTGGATGAATGAGCCTAGTGCGAAGTGCAAAACCCTAGAACCCCCGCTGATCGACAAACTGCAAAGCTCAGCTGGTCCTTCGCAGGGCGGGCACATTCCCCCAGCGTCGGGTAGTGGTCCAAGTGCAGTCGAACCATGTCATGGATTTCGTGGACTTGGTTGCTGTCGAATGGTTATTGTAATGTGTAGATTCATGGCGAAGGGCCCATGTCACGATTCAACAGCTAAGGGTTGAGGCAAGAAGGTTGAAGGCCAAAAGGTTCCGGGTTGAATTTCCCTCCGTTTTGTTGCTCCTTTGTCTCCCACATGTGCTTTTGCTATTCAGCTTGCATGCAGCCAGGGCAACCGTCCAAGTAGTTCTCTTTTATTTTCTCGGATCTTCGCGGCTGAAACAAGTGGGTCAAAACATTCGGCCTATCTCCACCAAAATATCAAATTTCGGGCGAGGGCCCTAGGCTTGGATATGGAGAGACGGCACGTGGCGAGTTGCAACCTGCACTTTCTTGCCCAGTGCTGCTGGCTTAAACCGACCAGCATCACAGCCTCTTTTGGCGTGAGTCTTTGTACATAGTGCCACTTGCTAACCATGATGCACTGTAAATCACGAGTGATTACGACTAAAGTCAGTAACTTTGAATGTATAACTATGCACCAAGAACTTTAGCGTACCCATCTTAAACTCACAAACATCGCATTAGTCGCTATAGTCCTAAATCACAACACATCACATTTCCGGACTCGTTTCTTATTTCTGGCCTCCAGCGGGGCATGTCAAGCACTGTAGGCAGTGCAGGCACGGCAGGCACGGCACACGGACACAGGCATGCAAGCAGGGATGCATGCAAGCGCGCAGGCATGCAAGCATTCACGCACGCAAGCGGGCATGCGAGCTCGCACGTATGCAAGCACGCAGGCACGCAAGCATGCAAGCGCGAAGGCACGCACGCATGCACGCTAGCACGCACGCACGTACGTAGGTATGCACGCATTGAAACAGGTGCTTTCTGACTTTCAGGGGTGTGAGTGCTGACCTTCATTCTTTAATGCTCAGGGTGCCTAGTACCGAATGGCGCAAGCCTTGTTGACTGGGTGTTGGTACCATACCCAACAACTCAAAGGTGCAGATTTCCAGCAAGTGGGTGCAAATCGTCTTAGGCAGCCCTTGGAGCCCAAGTCGCCGCAACAAGTCGTGTCCCAGCTTGCAGTATCTTGCAGCCATGGCCTGCGCGAGATTTCGATCCAGAATTTGTTACGCCATCTTCCCGCTACTCGTGGCGGTGATGGGCAATATCCCCAGGGACATTCAAGATGAACGAATCATCAGAGACTTATTGCGAAGGATGTCTGTGGATGAAAAAGTTGGGCAGCTTGAGCTGCTTTCGAGACCATGGGGCGATGATTTCAATGGTGAAAGCCCAGAGTGGGCAGATACCATGGAGAGGATCCGTGCTGGGAAATTGGGGGCTCTTTTCAATGGCCAAGGTGTCCACATAAACCGAGAGCTGCAGCGAGTAGCTGTCGAGGAAAGTCGCCTGGGCGTTCCGCTCATCTTTGGCGCAGATGTGTGGCATGGCATGTGGACCGTGTTCCCCGCCCCCTTGGCAGAAGCTGCTTCATGGGACCCTGACTTAGCTTACCAGACCGCCCGCGCCAGCGCAGTTGAAACCACAGCTTCGGGACTCATGTGGACATTCAGCCCGATGGTTGACACGGCCCGAGACCAGCGCTGGGGCCGGAACATCGAGGGTGCTGGAGAGGACCCCTTCCTGGGCCAGGCTTTTGCCACTGCCCGGGTCCGCGGATTTCAGGGACCAGATTTGAAGTCAAACGACAGTTTGGCTAGTTGTCTCAAGCATTTTGCAGGATATGGGGGAGTCTCGGCCCATGTTGATTTCTTCTGTCTCAACGCAAGAACTAAACAGTCAAATAGTTCTTGTAGATGTCCTTCTGTTTTTGCATTGCCAAGTTGACCTTTCCGAGGAGTGTTGGCTGGGCTTGACTACAGTGAGAGTGACATGTCGGAGGCCACCTTTCGCGATGTCTTCTTGCCCCCGTTCGTGGCCGGCATTCGCGCGGGTGCATTAAGCATCATGAGTGCTTTCCAGGCATTGGAAGGTGTTCCAGCAACAGGAAATCATTGGCTTCTGACTGACGTGTTGAGAACTGAACTTGGCTTTGAAGGTTTTGTCGTCACGGATTACAATGCAGATGGGGAGTTGATCAATCATGGTTTTGCGGCAAACATCTCTGATGCTGCCGGGATTGCTCTCTCCGCTGGGGTGGACATGAGCATGCACAGCGGTGCGTTCAGAAGCTTGCCCGGGCTCTTGTCTAATGGTACGGTTTCGCTCAAACGCCTTGATGAAGCGGTAACGAATGTGCTGCGAGCCAAAGCCGCTATGGGACTCTTCGCGAATCCTTACAAGACCTTGGACCCATCTAAAGAATGGCCAAAAGGTCAACTTGCCAAGGTTGAAGAGCACGATGCCCTCGCAAGACGTGCTGCCAGAGAGTCTTTGGTGTTGCTTAAGAACAACAACAGCGTCTTGCCGCTCCAGACGTGCTGCCAGCGCATAGCAGTTATTGGCTGGTGGACAAACAGCACCGACACCGATGGGGTTGGGGTCATATGGGGCAACAAAACGCACACAGTCACCTTATTGCAAGGTTTGCAGGCCGTGGTCAATTCCTCGCATCTTCGAGTGGCAGAGGGTTCCAATGCTGAGACACCCATCGATGGTGGCATTGAAGAGGCCGTTGCAGCTGCTACGTGGGCTGACGTGGTGACTTGATGTGTCTTGCCCTACTGTACTTTGTTTTTGATGCTCGCTAAGAAGGAAGCCATTGCAGCCAGCCTGAGGTGTTGTTGACCTTGGGGGAGTCGTCACCCATGATCGGTGAGGCGAAGTCGGTGACAGATCTCCAGATCCCGGCGGCCCAGCAGCGCTTGGCTGAGGCCGTGGCCAAGGTCGGTCGGCCAACGGTAGTGCTTCTCAAGAATGGCCGCGCCTTGGAATTGGGAGGAGCTGTGCTGCAAGCTGATGCCATCATGGTCACCTGGTTCTTGGGGATGCTTGGC